TTTGTACATCATTCTAGAGAGGAATAAATGGCCTTTTTAGAAAGTGAACCATCGATAAGGAAATGTTGGCAGTTTTCTCAAAAAATGCTTGAATTTAAGAAGTTTGAGATTTGCGTGGTTTTTTTTTGAGTTGCAAAATGTACTTGAACATGACGCTGCTTTTTTCGAGGTTTCTTAAGAACCATTTGAGCCACAGAATTCGTTTTGGCATCGTTGGATAGAAAATTGAATGGGGGGGGGTCATGACCCCTATGACCCTCCCCTGGATCCGCCCTTGGGTATATATAGTAACATAAGATGGCTTAAAATTAAATATAATAACAGCTTATAGCTAATACATATTATTACATAATTAATCATACCTTAAAATAGGGTGATTATTTAACAGCTTGTAGGTAGATTAGTAAGGTAACGTGGGGTACTGCACCCCCATTTTCGAAGAGCCGGTATAAATTTGTACTAGACAAGTATTCAGAAGCCATTATTGATATTGGCAGTATGTATACGCAAGAGTGTCAAGTTTCTTTTTCCTACAAAAAATATACGCATCAGAGCAAAACTTTCTGGTCTCTTAACGACTCTCTTCTGACGGAATTAAAAATTTCAATGACATTACATTTTTATTAGAGAGCTAACACTATCAGAGAAAACCGCAAATAATTGAGAAAATTACACGATACCAATTTATAAAATAAGACTTTTAGTATTAAATCGATATAGAATATTCCCAAAAACAGTTCAAACCTCTTAAAGCGTGAGATAAATGGCGAGAGGGAACTAACTCCAGATGATCTAAATCGGTTTCTGCTAATATTCTCTATAAACTTAGAAATAATATGTTACTTCCAAAATACACTCAATTCGTACGACACGCTTAGTGCCCATAAGTAACTTAAATTAATTTGGAAATAAAGAATTATGAATAAATTAATTTGGAAAAAAATCCCCTAAAAAGGGGATGTCAGTAAATTACGAAATATAAGTTTTACATAGGTATAGGGTGAAGCTTAATATGAATTAACCCTTCTGGATTAGGACATCGAACTAACGACACAGTTAAGAAACTTGCCGTTTATTGGAAGTGGACCTTTCACTTTTATTTTGTTTTACAAGTAAAACACTTGGACAAATATTTAGTTTTTATTATTGCAAATAAATTACATTCTGCAATTGTTATTATGCTAATCGCAATATTATTATTCATATTACGTTAATCGCTTTTTTCGAAATAAATAGTGAACACATTTTTGGTGTAGGAATCCTTAACACCTTTGGCTCAAGAGGTGGCGAAAGCACGGCAGAAGTTAATCAAGTGTAGGGACACATTTTCTGTAAGTACCATTTCTTACATAAAAAACGCTTTATTATGCATGTACCCATGTAGGCTTTGAACTAAATCACTAAAATTAAATGTGAATTAATACCTATATGTTTTACTTCTGTCTGCTTAATTTATTAGTACCCCGATCATTTCATCTGTTGTATCTCATTCATGTAATTCTAAGGAGATATATCGTTTACCAATAAAATTTATTTACACGTTAACTGCATCAACCGTGCTTTGCAAAAATCAACTGTCCCTTTTCACGATCCTTAAAATAGCTGTAAACTGTAAATTAACCAATTTCAATCCAAATATGTTGCAAGATTGTAAAGTTTCTCAAACAAAACCTAATAATTGGAAAAACCGTTTTGATCTGGTAATAAATATTGCATTGAATTGCTCTGCTTTAAAAGACAAAACCCACACTCATGTACTATGATGCCTATCGTGAAACAAAATATTTGATTATAAAAGAAATATGTACAAAAAATAATACAATTCAAAATAAGATGGAACTGGTCGTCTACTAATAAACGCCCAGGCCAGTAGTCATTTTCTACTATTATTGATTGTAAAAATGAACTTAATTATTTTGACACAACCTGCAAGATCATGCCGGGGGCAGTTCTGATTTATGTAGTTATTATTATAGCTGGTTTTTAGATAACATTTAACTTTTAACAAAACACCTCTTTAAAATATCTTCCTCTATCAGCAACTAATATGTTTGTGCCTTTCCTTTATGAGCAACTATAGCAGTTTGTATTGTTGGCTTCACGCACTTCACTCGTTAGCTCTATTATTAAATGTTGAAATTAAACTAAAACTATTTATAGACTATATTTCAAAAGCAGATATATTTCTTTTAGGATGACTTTGCTAGTGCTTCAAGTGCTGGCAACATTGACACCGGAGCTTTCAAGTTTATTGAAAAGAAAATTGTTGATTTTGAAAAATGTAAGTATACTGGTAGTCTGGATTATTTCTCACTAAACGCACTACACTTAACATCTACCTACGCACATTCTGCGAATGGTCTTATGATAAACTTTTTTTTCAGCGTTAGATCAAGTTTTTGAACAACTGAAATCTTTAGCCTTGAGAGTGTCTGCTGTAGAGAAATTATCTAGCTCATCCCAATCTGTGCATGAAATCAACTTGAATCAGCAGCCCCAGATCAATCCAGAAGCTTCTAAAGCTGATGATGATGATGATGTAGACTTGTTTGCTTCGGATTCTGAAGAAGAATCCAATGAAGCCTCTAAAATCAGAGAAGAAAGATTAGCGGCGTATGCAGCCAAAAAGTCCAAAAGTACACGCAGAATGTTAAAGATGGACTGTTCTTACTAATTAGAGTGTATTATATTTTAGAACCAGCCCTTATCGCCAAGTCCAATATCATTCTGGACGTAAAGCCCTGGGATGACGAAACCGATTTAAAATTAATGGAATCCAGTGTTAGAAAAATTGAGTTAGATGGTCTGCTGTGGGGAGCTTCAAAACTTGTGCCTTTAGCTTATGGGATTAAAAAATTGCAAATTTCATGTGTTGTGGAAGACGACAAGGTGTCTATTGATTGGCTCACCGAACAAATTGAAGCAATTGAAGAACTTGTAAGTAGTGAAGATGTTTATTGAAAGGAGCCGAATTTGAATTTTTCGTCATTTATTTATTATTTGTGTTTGTTACAGGTTCAAAGTGTCGACATTGCTGCCTTCAATAAAATATAGTCAATTAACTGGAATTTGTTTGTTTATGTTTGAAGCGTAAATAAACTTATTTTGATCAATTGTTTTGTACTATCTACCCTTTTCTTAGTAGACGTAGGTATTTTTCCACTTATTTTTTTTGTGAAGGTACGTATGTGTATATATATATATATAAACAAGGTGTTTCATGAAGAAGGGGCATTATTTTAACTACGGATTCTAGATCCAAAAATGGCCCCAGTTTGCCTTATAAACGATAGCCCAAAAGTACTCTGTTATGGATTTACAGGGTGTGAAATTTAATAAAAGAATATAAAACAATATATTTGTTCAAAACGCAGGGAGATATTTTAATTAAATTTTTGGCAACAGTGGCCAGTTGAACAGAATTTGTTATTGTTGGAAAATGTTTGTTTTTTTAGAGCAAAATCTTACGAAACTTTTGGCATTTTGACACCCCATATGTTGTGGCTATTAAAAAAACTTGATAATGTTTTCTTCAACTTTTTAACTCATTTTGTTCAGGTCTGGCAATGGTATGTCTAGTTTCCAATGCTAAAAAACAAGCAACAACAACAGTTTTTTCAAATGTTTTCAAAATTTTTTTTTAAGAAAAACAAAAAATTTACATTAATTACAATTGAAACTGCAATCATTCATTTGCGACTAATTTGCTTCTTTGCAGTAATTTTTTTTACTTTTCTCAATGTTGCATTAGTTTGTATAGATGGAAATTTTGAAGCAAAAATCATAATTTGGAAAAGAAAATTATGAGAAATAACCGACAGAGTAATAATCAGGCAAGATAGGAAAAATGCTTGTCTATTGGCAACACCGCATTTAAAATTCAGGGATGTGTCATCATATCATCTGGAATAGACATTTAGGACATGCCATTCTGAATTTCGTAAACAAAAATCAGATATTCAAGTTTCTGATGTTTTGAGTTTTATCGTAATTTTCGAAAATCCCTGTGCGGTTCCCAATCAGCCAGTGAGTTTCTATTTGTAAATATACGATTGTGATCAACGTACATCTATCATCTAATTACATTTGCAGAAAATTAAAAAAAATGGAGCTGTCTCATAGTTTAACTTTAAATGAAGAAGCATTTGCCCAAATTCCGGACGCAAATAAACCAGTATTTATATTCGAGTGGCTCAGATACTTGGACAAAGTGCTAGTTGCAGCCCAGAAGGTAACCGTTATTTACTATCCTTGAAAGGTATGGGAGTTGACCAAGATTTTCTATCGTTTAGAATGACCTAAAGGGGTGCCAAAAGCAACTAGTGCAACAGTTAATGAACCACATCCAAGAATCTCCCGGCCCTCCGACTCGCCAATTAATTGCCAGATGCCTTGCTACGCTGTTTTCAGTTGGAGATGCTTTTCTCCTTTTTGATACTGTGAATCAGTGCAATGACATCCTTAAGAATAAAGATGATAGTCCCAGTTTTCTACCCACAAGACTGTAAGTAACTGTACAATTTCTGTCTCTATCTAAGAGTATCGTTTTAATCAGATCCAAAGTGCATGCATTTGATGTTCAATGTACTTTTAGGGCTGCAATATGTTGTGTTGGTACAATGTATGAAAAACTGGGGAGAATGATGGGAAGGTCCTACGAAGAAACCGTGCAGATTTTAATCAGGTCATTGAGGAGTGCCGAATCGCAGACCAGAATAGAAATTATGATGACATTGGAAAAAGGTATAGTCAAATAGAGGATTATTTGTTAGAACATTTTATTTGAAACGCCATACATATTAGGAAAATACATTAATGCGATCATGGTCCAAAAAACAGTTTATTTTCCTAATAGAAAGTGGTGAAAGGGCAGTGACAGTGAATATTTAGGTTTATGTCTTCCGATATCCGTTCTCCACTTATTTCTGTTGTTCCACGAGCTTACCTCTAAACCTCGTTCTTTAATCTCTTCTTTCTATGCCAGCTTTTTTATGGCTTTACTCGGTTTTCAACCTGCAAGATTTAATGCTAAGGTCTGTTTTGGAGTTCTTGCTCTTGGCATTGTACCTATAAGTATATTCAACCATATTATCTTTTATTTTCCATTTCGTCCACGTTCTATCCTTTTGATTTATCTTCTACTTTTGTTGATAACTCCTTTCGTTTTTGTCCTACCCACCGCTCTTCTGCAAATGTCAGTTATAGTTGGTTTTAATACCTTCTGTACTTGTTCAAGATATATTCTTGCCTTGTATTTAAGTTTATGTCCAATAGGACATTATTTAACATTCGATTTAGACCAATTGTTCTTCAGTGTTCTTTTCAGTGTCAAAACGCCCGTCACTTATATCTAATAAATAATATTCCCAAAAATAAGATAAACGCCCTGGAACTTGTTAAAGTTTGATTTTTTGGATTTGATCTTAATATACAGGGTGTTACAAAAATAATCTGCTATTCTTGACATGCTGGTGATATTTAAGGCTTTGGGTCCTTGTAACACATTATGAACAACTTCCTAATGTACGTCTCAAAGGCGTCATATCTGCTGCTTGTACTTACCGGAGAAATGAATTTAATTGAGAATTTCTGGTATCAATTGAACACACTTTGTGCAATCAATCCTCATTGCATATAGGTCGATATTTTATAAAATAATTTGGTTCAAATGCGCACTAGAACTTTGTATAAGTGGTCATGTTTTTGTAGTTTCATCAGGTATGGGTAGTGCAGCTATGAATGTTCACAAAGATATATACAAAGCAGCAAGAGTCTGTCTCATAGACCGCAATATGGCAGTAAGATGTGCGGCCTCAAAATGTCTTTTGGAGCTGGTAAAACATACTCCATTCCTTCATGGATCAGAACTTGAGAGCCTGGCAACACTTTGTTTTCGAGCTTTTGATGGTTCCAATTATGAAGTAAGATGTGCAGTCGCTAGATTACTCGGTACCTTGGTTGCGACCACGCAGCAAGGACAAAAAGATGGTGCAGGAAAAAATGGTTACTATAATTACTGTTTTTTTGTAAAATCATAAAATTATATAATTTATTTCAGTTTCATCAACTAATAAAAATATGAAAGTGTTTTCATTAGATGAAGCAATGGGTATTTTGATGTCGGGATTTTTAAGAGGTGGTGTCGGTTTTCTTAAGGGAACAGGCGAAATTATTAAAGGCAGTTCCGGCGTAAACAGAGAAGTGAGAGTAGGCGTTACACATGTAAGTAACCCAGACGTTTTAGCTTAGATTGTTATCATACACCGTATGTTGCAACTTTACATCCGGGGTATCAGTACGGCAAATCAGTACGGGGGTTTCAAATATAATCGGGACTGATTTTCTTTATTTTCAATATTTACAAAACCACACTATTTTTCTACGTATTTTCTTGCCCTATAAATACGTTTTACCCGCGAAATCGGAACTTTTTAATCCCGTCAACTCCTCTACCGCTTGATAGTTGTTAAACGAGGCGAGCGTTTACTTTTTGCGAAAATTTTGGGCTTGTTTGCTTTTGTCTGTTGAATGAAACATAATAAATATGGTACAATTATCATCGTGTGTATAATTTGTAGATTTTTCAGTGTTAGATTTTCAGATTATTTTTCATACACAAGCAAGGCACTATCGGGTTTTATCTTTTTGTAAATACGAGTTTTTTATATCTTTATTTGCCACCACGGTTGTTTTATTCGACTGCTTGTGGACAACGAAGTGAATAATGAGAAAACGGCAATGCAAATTCGATATACTTCCGACTAAAGTCCCGAGTTACAATCTATTGTTTATTTATATTGTTTTATACCTGATGGTAATTGTACTACATCAATTGATGATATGTTCTTTTGGTTGTAGGCCTATGTTACATTTGTGAACATTTTGGGAAGCTCCTGGCTGGAGAAAAATATGAAGGCATTTCTTTCGCACATTCTGTACTTGGTGGCCAATCCAAAAGCGGCCTCGTCGCATGTGGATGCAGTTTATTCTCGAAAGTGCATCAACTTTATTCTCCGAGGCATATTTGGAAAAATGTTCGGTGAAAAGGCACAAATCACTGCTTGCAAGCAGATAGCCCAAATCATCGCCAAAGAAATGAACAGTATTGATTTTAATCCCGAAAACGCCAAGGAATTTAATCAAGAGACCTTATTTAGCCAACATCTCCTAGTGTGCGCCTTGCAGGAAATCGGGAGCCTTATTCTTAGTCTAGGAACCACTGCTCATGACTTAATTACAGATCAATCTTTAAGTACGCCTTACGTTTATTTAATTTAGTATGCTTGCATTTACCAAAATTAATTTTAGATGTAATCGATGTTACCATGAGTGTCTTGATTCATCCCTGCCAGGCCGCTCGTTTGGCGGCCGCCTGGTGCCTTCGATGTATTTGCGTAGCCGTGCCAAGCCAGATTTCCCTTCTCATAGGTAAAGTGTACAATATAACCAAACAGTTCCTATACTCAATCATCTATGGAACTTCATAGGCATCATACTAGCTAATATTATCTTTTAGATCGGTGCGTAGCTGGCCTTGAACAATATCGAACATCACCTGAAGCCATATCGGGTTATAGTTCAGCACTTGCAGCAATATTAGGCGGTGTAAAATTATCCCCTTTGGGTGTTCCGCATACCAAAGGTAAAATTATATTTAACACTGCCGAGGAATTGTTACGCAGTGCCAGTCAGAACAGCCGTCTCTCGCTTGCCAGAACAAGCGCAGGTTGGCTTTTGGTAGGAGCTGTAGCAGCGTTAGGGCCTGCTGCATCTCGTCCTTTGCTTCCCCGAATGCTGTTGTTATGGCGAAATGCATTTCCGCGGTCTGCCAAAGAATTGGAATCCGAGAAGGCACGCGGAGATGTTTTTACCTGGCAAGTAGCCTTAGAAGGACGCGCTGGGGCACTAGCTGCAATGCACAGTCTTCTCCTACATTGTCCGTCTTTGGTTATTGGGGAGGATGTTGGAAGGCGACTTTTGCAACCTGTTGAAGCTGCTCTAGCTATGTTAACTAGGTAATAGCCCCAAGTTAATTATTGAAATGCGGAGAGAAACTAACGGATTTTTTTACAGTATTGCTGGAGTACTGAAAACATATGGACAGCAATTGAAAGCGCCTGCAGCAATGGTTCGATTGCGGCTGTGTGAAACTCTATTATTACTCTCTCCACATTCGTATGAAAGTAAGATAAGAACTGATTTTGTTGGAACCAATACTTTTAATTAAATTTGCATTTCAGATTCATACACACATCTTTTAAGAATGCTTGTGGCCGAGTTTACTCTAACAGAGAATCCTGCCAATACTACAACTTCACAGTTGAAGGCTGTTTGTCATGCTGATGATGCGATTCTTTTGGGTACCTGGTTGCAGGAAACTGATCACGGAACGATTGAGGATCAGGTAAATTGCACCCGTAAAATTTTATTTGCTAATTATTTGTACGATCTAACTCTTCAACTCTGTAAGTTATGCTTGATGTGAATATAATGTGCTTTAAAGATTACCGATATGAAATTGTTCTTAGATGGAACCTAATCGCAAGGGTGATAGTGATCATGTGAGTAAAATGATATGCTTTCAGCTTATTTCCGAGTAAAATGAAGTATCGACAGTATTGTTTATTATTTCAAATTTGCTGTGCAATAAATCAGTTGATTTTGATGTGTTTTGTGTGCTACAAGGAAAATGTTTTTATTATTTACTTACGGTGACGACTCTTCAGATGAACCCAGGACGATAGTTTTCAACGAAGAAACTGCGCACTGTTCCAAAAAAAAATGAACGCTAACACTGGAAATGGGGATGCAGCTTATGGGTTGAAAACGTTTTTTTTTGCGATTTGACTTACTTATTGATACTGCTTCAAAAATAATTGGATTTCAATTTTTTTAGACAATTAGTGCGTAAATTGGTACATTTTAAGTCGTGTTTTCGGCAGCCACATCTTTGCTTATTACACTCACTTGCACAGCTGCAACTTCTACTTTTTAGTGTTTCGGGAATTAAGTATGAACCGTCTGAGGGAAATATGGGCCCGAGTCTACCATGTTCATTTTTGGTGCTTTGTTTGTTTTGTTCTTTTGTTATCGGGCTCGGTGGCAAAATAACTAAGCGAAGATTGCAATTGAAAATATACTCTGTAAGAGTGTTGCGCTCCGTTTTCAACCCCTAAACTGCATCCCCATTTCACTTCACATGAAACTTCAACAAAATTTTCCACCTGGTCCTTGCCTGTTACGTTTTTGTCTTATTTTTTGTGTTTCAAATTCGATTTGACACCAGCCTATGAGGCTTAAGTATGTCGTAGAATTCACACTAGTTGTTTCTTTATTAAATGTTGATTAAGATTTCATTCTTTATGGAGAAGTAAAAGCATTCGTTATTGGTTAGTAGTAGAATGCATAAGGAAATTATGTTTCAAAATACACTAAATTAAATTTGAGGACAAATCCCCAAGGAAAGGGTTTTGACAAAATAAATCCGCCTGAACTTTATAGAACATCGACTCTCAACCTATGGAGAGATGGATGTTTTGCATGAGTATTTTTCCTTGCTTTATCCGCATAAGATTGTTTATAGTGTTTCGCTATTTTTTTATTATTATTAATTTATGTGAAATGTGTTAAATCGCTTTTTTTTAATTGATGTTTTTTTACATTTAAAAATGTCTTTAGCTTCAGACTCATAGTGCGGCAGGATCTGGTGCTCTTGAACACGACCCTTGCTGTCTGTTCCGAGCAAGTTCGGGAGAAGATCCTCCCGGTCCTCTTCCATTAGGGGTTGCAGTAATTGACGCCGCGGTACAGCTTTTCGGGCAACTGTTTCCTCGCGTTACTGAACGCCATCGCACCCAAACATTGGATCATTTTGCAGAATGCGTTCGTGCGGCCCGAAGTTCACGTCAAGAAGCCGTCCAACTAAATATGTTCGCTGCTTTGCTTTGTGGATTACGCAGTTTAGCAGCCGCAAAAGTATGTCAATTCAGTTTGATCTCACCTTTGCGTTATAGATAATGTTCTATTGTCTATAGGCATCATTGACTGTGGTTGAAGCGAAACGAGCGTCCGTCTTAGCTTCTGGAGCATTGGCTGGTCCAGGAGCTCCAGCATTACTGCGTGCTGCTGCTGCTGAAACATTGGGTCGACTTGCTAGATCTCTAGCAGACCCTCGGTTTACTGCTCAACTTATCCAAACAAGTATTGACTGTTTAAAAACTGCCCGTGACGCTGCTTCCCGTACAGGCCACTCATTGGCCCTCGGAGCATTACATAGACATGTTGGTGGATTAGGAGCTGCGAGATTAATGCAAACTAGCGTATCCATATTAGTTGCTCTTGCTCAAGATCGAGCATCTGCCGCTGTCCAAGCATGGGCTTTGCATGCATTACGACTCTGCGCAGATGCTGGAGGACCTATGTTTAGAGGATTTGTAGAGCCTGCTTTAGCAGCTGCTCTACGCTTACTTCTGGAAACACCGCCGTCCTCTGTGGATGTCTATCGCTGTGTTGGAAAACTGTTATCATCCCTAATCACGACAATAGGGCCAGAACTTCAGGTATTTATATATAGCACCACTTCGGTGTATTTGAATAATTTCATTGCGTGTCATGACGTTTTGTTTTTTTTTTTCTCAGGGTAACACCTCGACGATTTGTATGGCTCGATCTTCATTTCTGTGCGCGTGTGCAGCTCTACAGGGACATCCAGAGCCTGTGGTTCAAGCTGAAGCTACAGCTTGCCTTCAGCAATTGCATCTGTTTGCTCCAAAGCATGTGAATCTATCATCCCTGGTGCCTACATTATGCGTAAGTTTTTTGATGAAATATTAAATTTGTTATGAACTTCGGGCCGTTTTAAATTGCCACAAGCAATTCTATTGTTCAAATATCATTGTAATAAGTTAAATAATACACTCGCTTGACTGATAATGAAACTCATGATGGAAACTTGGTAACATAAAGCAAAATGAGAATAATTGCGAAAGTTAGTTAAAATTCAATAATATGAGAAATGACGCCATTTTGAAATAGTCGCTATTGTTATTTTCGATAAAAGGGCGAAAAACGGATTTTCGCCCTCGTATTGAACAATATTAACAGGCATAACACGAATAATAAGTTATAATAAATGGGAATAGTCAAAAATAAAAGGCATCTATTTCATATTTTAAATCTGATGTCGATGCCATTTGTCAAATGTCACGTTTTGACGTTTGTAATTTTTCAATAACTCGCGGCCCGCTTGAAAAACCTGTTAACTTTGAAGCGTTTTTATTTTCTCTAAATTTGTAGTGGCAGCCCTGTACCATTTTAATATACGATATCTAATTCCTGTTAAATATACGCTATTAAAAATTCTGAGAAAAAATGAAGTTGTCTCTAAGATGTTAGTTGTCCTACACATTCTCATTTTTTCAAAATTGTTGAAATATTTTTAAAAAATGTTGATTATTTCTGGTAGGTCGAAATATTTTTAAAAAATTGAAAATTCAATACCCACTGGCAATGCTGCTATATACCATGCACCTACTCCTGTTTTAATATATAAAAAATCAAAAAACACATTGAAGTTTTAGATAAGTTCTATATTGTTGAGGCGGATTCATTTTTTTACAAACTTCTTGTTGGGTATTTCGCCTCAAAAATTTTTGTCTTTAAAAAAGACAGA